AGTCTTACACTGCTAAATTAGGAATGGCTAGCGCAGATAGCCCTCGTGTAGCTTTGCGCGAATTTCAAAACAAACAAATAAACTAATAAACTTTACTACAGATCTACACACGACTAAAGGAGTTGAAATGATCACTTTATTGTAGAAATAGGAAGTGGGTAATGTAATGCACTAAACAACTCAGTTATAGGATAGATGACGTTTGTAATGTTTTACCTAAGGATATTCAAAATCATTGTTATAAAATCACCTCAATTACTCATTACTCATACTTTTAAATAAATCAAGGTTTTTATTTCGTCGTTTAAGTGGAATGCATATGATATTTTAAGAATAAACCGATTTTTGTTAAGAGGACGTGAGGATCGGCAGGATAAATAAGTCTGAATTAAACTACCAACTGAGTTCAAGCTTAAAAATAAACAGAACTGAGGGGGGATCAGCGGTAAGATTACGCACTTACAACGCACAATGAGTGAAACATACAGATGTGAACTAGCCATGACTCTTGGACAATCTGGAACAATTTAAACTGTGTGATTTATAACAGAGAATCAACGATCAAACATTTGCACTTCAGATCATGTGGTTTGTTATCGGATGCCTGATTTCCATAAAAAACAACAACTCATATGTATGTGTATGTGATGTTCATTATTTTCTAGTAGAGGTTTTGTCTTGTCATAGTCATAATATTGTAGATTATACTGTGATTGTTTTGTTTGTTTGTAGTTAAGCACAAAGCTATACAACGGGCTATCTGTTCTCTGCCCACCACTGGTATCAAAACCCGTTTTCTAGCGTTTTAAGTCCGCAGACATACCGCTGTGCCATTTGGAGGGGGGCATTATTGTTTGGGGCAATGTAGTTTCAACATTCTTGCTGATGTGATATTATTTTATTGCATTGCATTTCGCAAAAAAACAAAACAAGAAAAACTATTCTTAAATAAATAATTACTTTCAGATTTCAGATTTAGCTGGAGCTCTGGTGATCCATAATCATATCATTGCTCGGGTTCCGGGTTCGGGGTCTTCGAACACTTTTCGGGTTTCTAGACACGGGCTCCCTCATTTGTACTTTGCTGCTGATGACGAGCAAACTGCAAACAGGTAAGAGCAACGAAACAAACGTTATTAGAACTTGTAGATTGCTTTATGCCTTCATCATTAATTAGTAACCGTTTTTATTATTTTACTTAAGAAGAAGATTTCACATAATATTTATCAACTAAAGGTGAAATACAACAATGAATCTTTAAATCCTCTTCTGTCCTGGGCCCGAGTCGGCCCCATGGTAGATCTTTGGATTTCCGAGCTAGCGAGCCGGGTTCGAATCCAGGTGATATTGAGAAATCTTCCCTGTACTTTAAGTTCGGGTGATTGTTAACCCCTCCGCATGGATAAGGGGTAGTGGAACGCTTCTGATTTTCCCTCTGATTAGTATTTCAAATTTAGGAATGGTGGCTTTAACAGCTTTGCCATAAATACCAAAATCAATTTTTATTTCTTTCCCTTTTTTATTTCGAGCATTAACAAATTTTATTAACTTTGGAGTGTATGAAAAAGTACTGATCATTGTTAAAAATAATTTACTTTTCTGTGGAGCCGCGTAAAGAATAAACATAGTTTTGGGGTAAAAAATATTAAATGACATAATAAAAAAGCTATTACCACGCTCGGGTTAACGAAGCATACTAGTTAAAATAAATCTCACAATTTCTTAATGATTTTTTGAGAAAACTTTTAAAAAATATACAAATTCTATGTTTATTATAGTGAAAGCAAAAATAAATTCAATGAAGATTTACGTGTATTTATTTCTATATAGGTGGATAAGTTCTTTGAGTGATGCAGCCAGCAATATATGCCACGTAAGTTGCCACGATGTATGCAGTTGCTTGCCAGTTCGTTTTAATTGGTTTAGTATATTTAGTAGCTAGTGTTTAGTAGCTCAAACTCTCTCTCTCTCTATATATATATATATATCATATGTTTGTCTATCTAGTGTCAGTTTTGAGGAACTTGCTAAACCGGTTTCGAATAAATATGATAGAGTAACTTAGGCCTACCCTTAAAATTTCGAGCTAAATGGATAAGCAATTGGATGGGTACCTTTGGATCAGACGAACGGATCGTGTGCCGAGGCTCTAATATAGTGGAAGGGGTGGTCAACGCCCTTATATTTGGCATTAAAGCCAACATTACAGGTACTCTTACTAGAATAATATATTGTATACAAAAGCTAAAAAGCTCCAAAACTTGACCATACGCCACAAGGGTTAGAAAAGGTTATAGGTTAGTTGTG